GTGAGTGTAAAAACCTTTCTCTTTTTCTTCTCTGTTCGGGCGCGATCTTCTGAAAATTCTCCAAATCGGCGGGAAATGAATTATTATCGAAAGAGCCCTAATCGGTGAAAATCTTTTTTTGGCTTTTGCTTCTGCGTTATTTACGTTATTGCCCCTCAAGCGCCAAGGAAGCTTAACCGGGTTGTGATAATTATAATAACCGATTCAGATTTCATTTCCGGTTAAAGATTTTCAAACGATTTAATACCATGACACACAAAACAAACACTGGTAATCACTCATGCGTGGATTGAGGTTGTATACACAAATTATGAAAGCCGGAAAAATTGTTACGGTCAATATCAGTCATCTCCCCAAGCATCCTCCCGTTGTTTCTGCCTGGTGACAATCCGGTTTGCTTCTTGTTCTCGCAGCTCTCTAGACCCGAATCCAGAAGCCGGTAGTTTCAGTCCCATGCTGTGTGCAATCAACCGTTGAGCTGTTCTCGCTGATGTCTTTGGTCTTTGAGACGGCGGTTCCAAATCTGAAGTTAAACATGAACATCATGGTCACGCATAAGAAACACAAGTAACAACATTTTGACCCGATCTACACGTGTTTTGGTGTCTCGCTAATCAGACAGCTTGATCAAGTGGATTAAGGAAGTTTGGATGTTTTAAGGCTCGTAATTTAATGAGAAGTGAAAAGAGAATCGTGATCATCGAGAACACGTATGGTGAATGAACATTGAACACGGTTGCAAGCCTGTAGAGCTGTATCAATTATCAAAACCAGCTCTTTTAGTCAAGCTCTTTTCCTTTGGCTCCAGCTCGCTTGATCAGAGGATGATTCAAAGAACACGACCTTGTTTAGTCAAGCTCTTTTCTTTCTGCCTCCAGCTCACTGGATAACCCTGACCAATATAAATTAAGATAAACACCCACAGAAAAAAGAATAAGATGAGATTACAAAAGGTAGGAGCTTATTGAGTCAGCTCTTTTTCTGTGATTGCCTCCAGCTTGCTCGATTTGAACCAGACTTGGAACATAATTGAGAATAGCCGGCCCACTTGAATCCATTGTAACACCTTTCCAACACACTTGCGTGCTTTATTATCCTCCCCAACAACGTATATCTTGTCCATGTCCATGGTCCTGGTCTCGTCCTCCAAGTCAGTCCACCTCTCACAACACACGGCGACTTTCTTATCCTCATCTAGCAAGAAACTCCCAAGACTCGAGATTTGAAGATCAGGGCTCAAATCCGATGCTAAGACCTTGCTCCATGACACAGGTTTGCTCCCATCAATCTGATTTGTCACCCATATCTCAGTCTTGGATGTAAGATCGCGCTGCAATAACACCGAAAGCTTCTCGTCCCCAACAACGGAAAAAGTGGCAATTTCAAACATAGAGCACTGATAGGGATGAGGCACAAGCACAGACGATTTCTCTGATGAAAAATCAAATCTGAGCAAGTATACGCCTGGAAGCGTTTCTGTTTCATCGTTAGCTAAAAAGTAAGTAATCCCCTTCAAAGATACACTGTGATCAGAGTACAAAAGCTCAAAATTTTGTACCTCTTAGTGGAGGATTTGCTGCTGTGTTGGTAGTAGTATCCGAGGGCATGGCAGGAGATTACTTTGTGACCGGCGTCAATCCACTTGGTTTGACCAGTACAGGGGTTCCAAACCACATGTCTAGATCTGTCACTGGAGGAGCATAACAATAAGCCATCGCAGTGAAAGATGCCAGATATATCGAATTGACCATTAGAACGAGGGTCGATTAGGCTAAACTCACTTTTTCGCTCTACAGACGGAACAATTCCATGGAGATTGACGCTAAGCGGACAAATNCTGTAGTCCTTGGTTTTCATGAGAACCAGAAGCTCCTTTGCGGCTTTATCAGAGTGTTTCGTTGCGAATATCCGATTGTTGAATAAAAGGTTCCAACTTTTGCAAGTTGATCGCAATCGTTTCAGATGTCTGCCCGGAACGTGACAGATTATCTCATCCTCTACCAAATCATTCGGAAGATCCGGTATCGTCATTGATCTCTCCAGAAATCGCCGCCGGTTTTTAGCAAGC